TTTTTTAATTTATAACTAAGAATTGTTTTTCAAATATATGGTTCAATTGTTGTAATTTATAATCAACAGAAACCAAGTCCTAATCAAATGTGCTAAAATAATTGCAACATTAAGGCATACAAATATTATTATAATTTTAATCTAAAACAATTTAGAAAAACTAAATTTTTAGTATTTTTAGATATCTAAAAATACTAAAAACTAGACTATAATTTATAGTCAAAAATCTAATGTTTATCAATTACTTTTCTCTTGAATTGCAAACTGAATTTTTGATCCACCCCTGTTTTCAGTTAACTAAAATCTGAGGTCATATAGGTTTGAGTGGTTCTAATTGATTACATTAGAAAAAAATGTTATTATATTACATCCAATTCTACTAGTCCATAGGCAAAATTACAAAAAAAATAATTTTTCAAATTACAAAAATACTTCAATTAATTAGTATTAAAATACTATTTAAATATTCCTCAAATTTGTTGAAAAAGATGTTTAAAACAATAGAATTAAACTTTAATGAAAATGTATGAACTATTTTGATATCATCCATAACATTGTTTAATCTAATTAACACATCACAACATTCATATAATCTCATTTCAAGGATCTCTATGTGAAAACATTTTTTTGTTTTTTGGTTTTAGATATTACAATAAATTAAACATTTTTTAATACATAAATAAAATTGAATAAGTCTATAGTTAAATTAAAAATCTATTTCAAACTTTTTTTCACTTGAATGCTTTAAAACCATCTTAACCATTTAATATTGAAAAAAAAATCTATGATATTCAAAATTGTTGGATTTATTAAATAAAATGTAATTTTTGAAAAAATAATGTTTTCAATTCCAGCCAAATACAAATTTGTAAAGAATTTTTTTTTTAATTTGTTAAAACATAAATGTAAAAATGTGAATTTAATACAAAACAATTTTATAATAATTTATAAGTATTTGATTAAAATAAGTAAAAGATAAACAAATTATTCACCGTTGTCAAAACGAATAAGATAAAGAAGTATGTAAAATATTTATTTAAATTAAAACCTAATACTTTATTCATGAACTTTAATCAGTAGTTTAGGGGAGATATTAAAATTACACATACCTATAAATTATTAAGAAGTAAATGATTTTCTACAAATATAAATAATCAAAAAATATATAATTATAATAATAGTAATAATAAAAAATAAAGCAGTGTTACTTTTACATAAACAATAAAAGTTGGGCATCAATATCACCTTTACTTCTATAATAGACTAGAAATGTAAACTTAAACTGAATTATTGAAGTGGAGATATTGTTTAGATTTAGAATAGCAAGGCATTTTTTACATTACTGAGTTTCCTGATCAGCGACAATCCCAAACTTTAATAGTCTTATCCACGCTACCAGTGATAACACAAGGCTGTGATCGATGAAAATCTGAAATAAATAATGCTATAAAAAATATGTTTTAACTACTCAATTCAAATATTCTATTAACATTAAATGTATATTTTAAAAATAATGTCAATAGATAAATCCATAAGTCTTCACATACAAATGATTGCAGAATTATAATAAAAAACTTTTAAAATAAGATATTAGAATAAAAAAAAATGTATATATATTTTATACAATAATACCTGCCTATATATCTCAAAACTGAAATAATACTATACTAATTAATTAAAAAATTAAAATTAAATAAATACTATTTATTGTAACTACTCTTCTCTAATATTGTGTTTTTCATATTTTAGTCTTAATTTAGAATTATGATTAAATATGATTAAAATAAAAAAATTGAGTTATCTTCTTTTTACAGTTTTTCAATTATAACTAAATAATTCAATCAACTAAAGAAATATATACATAATTTAAATACTATTTTATTATAAAAGTATCAAATTTTAATAGTATACATTAGATCAGAGATGAAAGACATTCGAGAAGTTTCGATTTAATTAATAAATTATGAATAAAATTTGTTTATATAATTATTTTAAAACTATCTAATCTAATATAATATAATCTTGTACATGGAAAAAAATTCTATAATATTCAAAATTGTTGCATTAAAAAAATAAAGTGTAATTTTTGAAAAATAACATTTTCAATTCTTGCATAATGTATTATATTCTACATACCTACAGTAGTACAAAAATGACTGTGTGCTAATAAAGTTTTCATATTTCGTTTATTTGCTAAATCCCAAATTCTAAGTGTTTTATCATCACTTGCAGATATTACATATTTGCCTCCAGGGTGGAAAACTAAACTACGTACCCAATTATCATGACCAACTAAGGTAAATAAACACGAACGTGAAGCTACATCCCACATCTAAATTATGAAATGTATAGTTAGTCTTTACAATATTGACATTTGTATCAAAAATACTTTTATTGATTTATCTCTTGAACCAGAAATAATAAAAGGGCCTTCATATCCATTTTTTTTTTTATCTACTCCAGCACCTTCATTAATAGCTGATGATGCAGCAGCAGGTGCCCACGCTATGCATTCGACAACATGTTCATGACCCCTTAAATCTGCCTGATAAATTTCAATCAATGTACTTTGGACTTATAAATATTTATGTGAATATGAATTTATTTAATGATACATACTTTGCATTGAGTAGCTGCAATTATCCAAACTTTAACAGTATGATCATTAGAACACGATGCTAGTAACTGTCCACAAGGAGAAACTTTTACTTTTCTAACCCACTCACGGTGGCCAGTAAATGTCTTAACACAATAACTAAAACAATAAAAAATATTTAACAAAATGATATATTTGAACATTTGACATTTTAGTTCACCAACATACCCTGTATTAACTTCCCACATTTTAATAGTTTTATCTCTAGACGAAGACACTATGAAATCTCCACCTTTAAGAAAACACACTCCAGATACACTGTGTTCATGACCTTGCATAGTTCTAATGCATTCATATGTTTGGCTAAAATCCCATAACTTTATGCTCATATCAGCACTACACGACACTGGAATATTAAAATAAGAATGCATAATTTTATTAAAATTCAAAATTTTATATTAAAAAAAACCCAGCACAGTGGGGATGTGGCATAGTTGGATCAAGTATAATGATATTTGACAGTGATTAAAATCACTTCTAGTGATTTTGAAAAATACTTCTAGTGAAAATTTTCTCTCTTATTAAACTCTACATATTTATCATCTTTCTAAAAAGTTTTATTCCAATTAAAGCTAAATTATAAGAGAAGTTTCACTTGTATTCAAATATCTAGTAATACCATATTCTTTTTGCATAACATATAAAAACTATACATGAATTTTTTAACAAAATTTACAGAAGATATATAAGAATACAAGATGTCTATTCAATTACAATGTTCTCTATTTATACTTTACAGACAAAAAAAAAATGCAAAATCTTAACCATACACAATAAAATAAATAATTTCATAAGTAATACAGTATATATATTTCAATAATTTATATTAAAAATGCAAATCTAATTTAATGTATTTAGAATGCAAATGGAAAAATATGAAAATTTTTACAAAGACAAACCTAATAATTTGCCATTTTCATCAAATGCAATATCTTGAATGGCTTCTGTATGGCCTTTTAATGTTCTTTCATATTCACCAGTCTCATAATCCCAACTTTTTATTGTAGCATCTTCACTTGCAGAAACAAGAATATTAAAAACTGGGTGAAATATAACTTTTATCACAGTTTCTCTATGCCCAGTCAAACAATGAGTTTCTGGCGCTCTTGGTATCCAATCACTTGGTGAACGCAAAGCCCTTTTAGGTGCACCAGAACTTATTTCTTTTTCATATTCAGAAAGTTTTGATTCTAATTCACTGACCTTAAACCATAAAGTGCATGATGAAATAACAAATTTTATTTTTTTTATTATTATTTTTATTTTATCTAGATTTTTATATGTATTTTTTTTTTATATATATAATAACACTGTAAATTAATACTATATAGTGTCCCACACAATTTTTTGACAATTTGCCATAAAAAAAGTATGTAAATTTGTCAGAACATTGTTAGACACCATGTTTGTATATATATATTCATATAGAATCTTTTTTCTGTAAGCCTTTAAGTGATTAATCTACGAGTTTGGATAATACTCTTGAAGAGAATTATCACCAAACAGCTGTTAAAGATAGGAAAAATAATGAAATGCTGAAAAATGTTTTCCTACAGTTTGTTCTAACCCATGTGAAAACCTAACAGCTCTACATTTATAAAATTACATGGCTAAGTAGTCATATAATTTTATCGTAGATTTGGTAATATTATTTGTTTATTAATTTATTGTTTTCTTTACACTTTTCTGAACATTAAAACTTTAACAGTAATAAATGACTTTTATTTTAATCAATAAAACTATATTTTAGGAATTCATAAAATGCTTACTTTTTTTTGCAATCTAATTACAGACGTCCATTTTTTTTCTAATAAGCCACCATATTTATTTTCGACTTCTCCTGGCATATCTGTATCCTGTTTTAAACCTTCCAAAGCATTGTTATAATTGTTACTACTTAAGTAATCAGCTATTGCTTTATTTCTAAAACGAAAAATTATGTCAATAAATTATGAATTAATAAATGGAACATTTACAAAGTTGTTTAACATGAATAATCCAAATAAGATTAAAGAAGCCTAAGTACTTTAAAAACATTTTATAACTCAAAATATATATTTGTATCAGAAACTAATATAAATGTAGCAAATATTAATAACTCTTATGACAGCATTAATAATCTTTTTGGTTAAATTTTACCAAAAAATTATATTTTTCATGTAACAATTTTATAAAATTAAATGACATAAGTATGATGGAATTTAGACTTACAATTCTTCTCTCTGTCTTTGAGACAACACCATTTTCATGTCTGATGAAAAAACTTATAAAGTTAATTATCTATTTAATAGAATTTCTAATTTGTATTATTGATTGAATAAACTGTAACAGAAAACCTATAAAATTTCAGTATAACAACACAATAAGTAAGCAAAATTATTATTTTTTAAAGAGCATAACATTAATTTTATATTGTCCATTTAATATTAATATACAAAGATAAATAATTTTTTTTATTTCGGTTAAAAAAAAAAATGTTATTAATGAAGTTAAAAAAAAATTTACACATATATCTCAATAAAATACAATTGCTTGTTAATTAAAACCAATAATTTCATTTTCAACACAATAAATTATATAACATTATTATAATGTACATAATATACTACAATTCTTACAATTTTACTGATGTATAAATTAATTAGGTAAATATTCAAAGAAACTTTATGTGGTCTAGAACAATACCATAGCTATTACGTATGGTTCAAAATTTTGGGCAGTTGACAAGAGAATAGACCAGAGAATGAGTGCAGCAGAGATGAGAATGCATAAACAGATGAGTGGAGTCACTAAAGAAAATAGGATAAGGAACGAGCATATAAGAGGAAGTATAGGCATAGCATCAATTGTGAATAAGATGAGAGAAAGTAGACTAAGATGATTTGGTCATGTTATTAGGAGAGAGGAATCGGATGCGTTAAGAACAGTTTTAGAAATGAATGTTGAAGGAAGAACAAAAGATAGATGGAGGGATTTTATTAAATGCAATATGATGGTTAATATGTGTATAGATGATGAGGGAGATTGTATCAAATGAAAGTTTAAAATAAGGGTAACCAACCCCAAGTAATCGGGATAAGAAAACGAATAAGAAGATATAATACATATATACACTTTTGTTATAATTTGTAAGCAATTAATGCACTATAATTAATTTATTGTAATATGTACTTTTAAATTAGTATAGCTATGAAAGATATTTACATTAAATAATTTCTCAAGAAAGATAGCCTCCGACTATAATTTTTTTCTTTTAATTTTATGTCTTACTAACACCTGTAATGGAACATTTGATTTTTGCTTACAAAATACAAATTTAGTGAAATTTACCAAAATTCTTTATAAAATATTTTACAAATCTAAATTCATTATTAGAACTAATGAAATCTATTTCTATATGTTTTTAAATACTACATAATTTGTTTATTATTTAATTACTTAGTACCTATAAAACTTAAATATATTTATCAGTCTTACTTATGAGTGTTAACTGCACGAAATTAGGTATTGTAAACTAATAATTTACAACACTTAGAATATATTCAGTTCCAGATGGCAAATTAGGTTGAAGAATATGTGTAAAATACGCAAAATAGGTTATTCCAGGAAATTTGACACAAGGAAGCACAATTCAATATTTACAGAATTACAATTAACATTTGAATGATTTTAATAATTTAGATCCCAAAATATACACTAAGACCGTGTTCATTTTAAAAAAAATTAACGATACTGAACTAAAATTTAATTAGGCTCGACAATCTTCTGCTAGTAATGTAAAACTACTAGTTACTAACAAAAATTTTCTGTGATTAAACCAATATGGCGTCTTTCAATATCTCTAAAAAGACATAATGATCATGAAACTAGTTGTGTTTACTAAAACTAGAGATAACATTAAAATGATTATTAATGATAAGAAAATTTTATGTAATTTTTATGCTCTAATATCAAAGATGACATAGCTCACACAGATATATTCCATATTGTAATATACACCTGTGATACCTATATTCATTCAAATTGTCATAATATTTAATAAAGCTCGGAAGGTTAAAATAGCTGTTAATGAATACAGTATTCAAAAAACATCATTCATTAACGCACGTTCTTATTTGAACGTCTTTCAAATATATTTTCGATGATTTTGAACTATTTTTAAAGTCATTTATATTATTAACAATAATATTAAGGTATCTACGAACTCATGACTATGTATAACTCTATGTTATACCCATAAATACTACCAAAAAACATTTATTATATACAGTATTGATTTAATTTTTGTTACGATTAATTAAGTGATATTCCGTATTTCGCCTCCTTCACTAAACTTTGGACTCAATAAATGAAATTTCACTTTAGCGTGATCAATCAAATTGTATTAAAATTTCACTGAAGTGTCGCTTGGTTTTATTTTTAATTTAGGTAATTAAATAACAAAAAAACCATGTAAAACTAACGGATAACTTCTATTAATCCTATTGTAATAAAGTTTAAAATAATTAGCTCAAAGTATTTATTACAATCTTGTGATTGTTTTATTTTCTCAACTTAAAAAGAAAAAAAATTATATCTTAGTTCAGTTCTAGTAAAGTTTTAATAGGAAAAATTATATTCGGTTTGAATTAATAATAAACTCTTGATATACATTAAACCAATATTCAGTATAATTACTTATCAAACTCATTTCACAAGTATAAAAAACAATTTTTATTAACTATTAAAACATTACATTAATAATGTCTCAATACTCTTAATAAATTTTTTATTATAGGAATAATCACAAAGATGTTTCAAATTTATAAAAAAATTTTTTAATGTTATCTACTGATCAAACAAACAGAATAGATAAGATATTATCTAACTGTGCCTTCTTTATTATTTATGATATTAAATAAAATATTTATAAATCCACCTCGATAACAGCAATTGATAGACACTGTGTTAAACCATTCAATTTTACAGTGTTATTTAAGTTTAATCTTGAATTAATTATGATCTGATTAGTGTTGAATGTATTTTTTCGTTTTTTTTTTCAAATGATATTAAAAACCAATTGATTAATTTTATAAATATATTGTTTTATTGTTCTAAAATGTCTGAAGGCAACGAGTTTTCTATTTTTAAAAAAAAGATTAATGATCAAACTCAATTATGTCCTGATGATAGTACGTCTAATCCCGAAATAAAATACGCGGATAACTGCATTGATGAAACATTCAATAAATTCGTAGAGAAAATTTTTCATTTCACATTAAAACCAAATTTTGACAAAGAGTATAACGCATCTATTGTTTATTTACCTGATATAACTGAAATATTGAAATATTATGATGGAAACCAGACTGATATTGAAATGTTAGAACAAGCTATTTTTGAAAGAATACTTTTACCTAAACCAGATTCATATTTAATGAAATATAAACAGAGTGTATCAATTAATGAACATACTATTCAGAAAAAATGCATTATTTATTTATTTGAATGTTTTTTGGAATTAAATTTAATGCAACAACAAAATTGTTATCCATCAATTAATGATAATGTATATGAAATCATAAGAGGATTTTTGTATACAAATGTATCCACGGCTCTAAAACAACCAGATCTATACGACTCTCAAAATATTAGTTTACAGGTTTGTATAATTTTGAGAGAATTACTCTCTCTCTCTATATATATATATATATTTAATTTACAATTGTTCAATATTTAATATAGATTTTGGATATTTTTAAAAATAATAAAGCTACTATGGAAGATTTTATGAAGTTTTTGACTTCTATAAATAAACTAATTATAATGGATGAAGATGATCAAGAAACTCAGTTAAAAATTATTTATCAACCAGTTTTAGATATAATAAAAGAAAAAATTAAAGAAGCTACAATTATATTTTTACCAAATTGTGAATTAGCTTTTATACAAGTTATTTCGTCAGATGTCCTACTAGCTAAAGTAAGGTTATTGCTTTAATGGAGTTCAAATTGTTGTAATGTATATTTATATAGATTATGTTAGATATGAAATATTTTTTAAAGAATAATAATCTTTTTTAATGTCCTACAAAGTCATATCTATAATAAAAAACAGTTATCATCTTAGAATAGGTTTTGAAAAAAAAAATACATATATACAATAATTTTGACTGTTTTCTTAAAAAATTACTTTTGTGCTCCGATTTACCAACATTTTTTTAAAATTAAGCATTCAATTACATAACTTAAAAAAAATTACTGGTAAAAAAATGTTTGCTGCTCATCAAGTATTTTAAAATGTTGAGAACTTTTGAGAAAAATGTTTGCTGACAGATTTACTTTCATCAGACTAATTTTTCATAGACTCAATTTGAGCAAATTTTATTGTTGGTGTAATTAAATTTCGCCATACCTCATATTTCTATATAAAAATACTTCTTTTTTTTAATTTTCATCATTTTTAAAGGGGCTATAACAAAAGAGTCGCCATAGGTTGCGCCTACGCCACCAAGACACAATTTTAATATTTTATAAAAAGAATTTTAATCCTATAATGTTAAACATTTTCGTCATGTGAGCTATTTTTTTTCTTAGATGCTCAAAACAATCCCTAGGACTTGAAGCACCTAAGATATCTTACAAAGATACCTTCTCTTGAATTTTTTCATAATAGCTAACTAATATAATGTAACAATAAATTGTTACGTAATATTTTAGATAACATCCGCTCCCAATGATCTTGTAATCCTCACAAAAAAAATTTTTATTGAAAAAAAAAAAATTATACATGTGTTATATAGTTAATATAAAAAAATCATTGTTTAAATATCAATCTACTAAAATTTTATTTTTTTTACAGTAGATTCTTGTTGATAAATCTTATTATAAATTACCCTTATTTTATAAAAAAAATAATTTAGTACTCTTTGTAATTCATACATATTATTATTTAGTTTCAGTGGAAAAAAATCTTACTTTTTCAATTATTTTTATTGTTTGAAAGCGAGCTATTGAAAATTTTAACTAAAAATAAATTTTATGCTATGTTTTTAAGTAATGTATAAACATTTAAATACAATTAAAGGTGTTGATTGATTATTGTCATGTGCCTATTGAAGCTACTGGTTATTATTATACAGATACTCTCCTAGGAGCTCTTTTTGCTATATCTGGGTTACCAAGATCACCAGGAGGCCAATTTGAATTTTTTCTGAAGCCAATGGAAGAAGTAAGTATTTGTAAATTTTTGAAAATTAACTTTTTTTATTAATTAATAATAAGTAACTAAACTTACAATTTATATATTGATAAACATTACAAATAGGCATTGAATTCTTATCTTGACATATTAATACACTTTAGTTTGGGCTAATATCACAATTTGCAATTGAGTAGAATGCAGTACTAATTAACTAAGTATTACTTTAAACGCTATAATAAGCATTTAAAAATATTGTTTTTAGATCTTTAGTATGCACTGAAAAGGCAAAAATCTGCAAAAAAATTAAATATGAAAAAAGATTTTTAATTTCAATTTAATATAAATGTATACTTTATATTTTATAAAATCTACACTTTTATTATTAAAATTAACCATAAAATTATTAAAAAGATATAAGTAGTTATTATTTTTATGGCAAACGTGTATAAAAATTGAAGAGCTTAACACAGAACTTTTTAGATAATAATTTGTTGTTAATTATGAATAAATGGATAACTTTGATTTTTAATATGTTAAAAATATCATTTTTAACCTTTTTTTTTTTTGTCTTTTAAAGTTAATTTTTTGAAAGTTTATAAAAAAAAAAATTGAATTTGTTACCATAACTTTTAGCTCAATTTCAAGTTTTAAGTTTACATTATTACAAAAAAAATTGTATGAAAATTAAAAAAATAGTATTTTTAAGATTAATATGCAGTAAGGAATTTGTATAATTACTATTTGCTACAAATTTATCAGAATAGCTCAATATTTTTTGCATTTTTATTGTAATAGATCACTTAAATAGAAATCACAATAATCATTTCTATATAACTTTTAGTGTTTAAAAATATATATTTTTTTTTTACAACTGTTAGGTTGGTTAATACCATTGGTATATCTTGGGAAAATTTTAAGTGCAGTGGTTTCCCTTTGCCTTCTGCACTAAGAACATGGTGTTTTTTCGGCACCATAGAAGCACGCGCGCTGTCACCCATCCGTTCACCTATGGCGGTAGGCATGGCTTAACACTAGAGTTTTGTCAACAACTAGTGTGACCACTGCGCCACACCACGCCCCCATGTCTAAAAATATACTATAATTGAAATATTCAGAACTTAATTAATTTTAAGGATTTGCTTTAACTAAAAAAATCAATCGAAATGTTTAAAAATATCTACTCAATTGAGCGTAATATAAAATTTGATTATAATTGTAAAAAATTTTTGTTAAATTCAGATGAAACTGAAAATCACTTTTTTTTTTTGTTACTAAACATGTTACTAAAAATTTGGAATATTATACTGTTAGTAACACACAAATAAAGTTAAAAAAATAATATATTACAATTATTTAATTTTGTAGTTGAAGCCTATTATCATAACAAACCTAATTTGACAATAAATACTTTAAAAAACATTTAAAATTAATGATTTTATTTATCTATAGGGAGAATGTGGTCTAAGTAACATTTTAATTGATAAAGTGGAAAATTTTTCAATTTTTTAGGGTAATAACTTTAATTAGATAATAGTTAAAAAAGTTGGTCAAGTGAAATATGAGAAAATAAATGAGAATCATAGAAAAAATTACATAGTAAATAAACTTTAATATGAGTAAACATTTTTTTCAAACGTAGGTAGCCTACAGTGATAGGATCCTTGATGTTCATTTAAGTTATTGAATCTAAATGAGATAAAAATCAAATGAGTTAAAAAATGTTCTTTTCATATTAAAGTATATTACATAAGCTTTAATTTAATGTAAATATATATATTTACTAATATTATATATATATATATATATATGTCAGTATTTCCAGAACATTTTTTTAAAAGTTGAGTTGAAAAAGTTCTACTTTCTATATGCATTTTTAAGGTTTGAACCCCCGCTGTATATAGGGAAATGGTCCGATTTAAAAAAAGAAGAATGTCAAGTGAAAGAGGTATATAAATAATATTTCTCTTAAAAAAATTGTATTAATCCATTCCTTTTTCAAAAAGTAATGGAAATATAAAGTTGGTACCATTTTTACTTTAAAAATAAAGTAATTAAAATCACTATCATAAAAAACGCTTCAATGCAAATCTGTAGATAGTGTTTAATTTTAAAATATTGGTGGATTATTTCAAAAGCTACATGATCTCCTATTTCCTTATTTATATCCTGATTATAAGTTTTATGATTTATAAGTGTAATATATGAATATATATATTTATAATATATAAAGGGAAGTGGTGTTATTTAAAAAAAAAAAGTATGTCTAATAAAAGAGGGATATAAATATTTAATCTCTTAAAAAAATTGAATTGATCCATACACTTTTCAATAAGTTATAGCCTTATAAAGTTAAAATGTAAAATATAAAATCGAGAATTTTAATACAAAAACAGCATACGGTAGGGTAGTCTTTTTCACTATAAAGACAAAATAAAGTCCAACATTTTTTTTTTTACATAATATAGTATATTACATGAGCTTTAATTTACAAAATATATATAAAAGTATCAGACTTTCCAGAACACTCTCAAAAGTTAAGTTAAAAAAGTTAATTTTTTTTTTGAAAAGGTTTGAATCTTCCTTTGTGGGCAGATGAAGGGTTAGATTTATAATAAAAATATACAAAATGATAGGTAAATACTTCATGAATTTATAAAAAAAAATTATATTGTTTTGGTCATTTTTAAAAAAGTTATGACAGTTTTAAGTAAAAAAAGTTGAAAAAATGTCAAAAATTAGCAATTTTTAAATTTGTAATTTTTTTGGAGATTTCTCCCATTTATGGGGAACGAGCGAATTTTTTTAATTTTTGGGGGTAAAGTCTTCGAATAAATACGATTTGTGATCTTTTGACGTATCGTTAAAAAAAATCGGTTCGGTGAGAGCTGAAAAAAGTGGTAACAGACAAAAAAAATTAAAAAAAAACTCATCTTAGTAAAATTAATACCTTCTTAGCTTCGAATCGAAGTAAAAAATTTTATTTAAAGTATTTTTTTATATTTTGTTTGTTAGATTTTAAATTTTTATCTTTTTGTCTTATGTAGTTGTCTGGACCACTAGAAAACAATATTTGGAATGGTATGGATACATTGCATCAACAATTACATCTTATTTTTTTACATCTTTTGAAATCTGGACCTGAAGTTAAACATAAAACACTACTGTGGTTGGGGAGTTGCTTGGAAAAAAATTCTGGGCGTTGCAAATTGTGGAATATTGAAACATCAATGCTAGAATTTATTTCTGATGGTTTTGCTATAAATTTGAGTGCTGTTCTTTTAAAATTATGTCAACCATTCATATCCAATACCAATAATATGAAATTATTAAAAATTGATCCTACTTACTGTGCAGCTAAAGTAGTATTAGTGACTAATTTTATGAATTTTTTTTTAATTACTTAATATTTTTAAGGTACAAAATATTGAAGAATCTAAATTACGAGGAGTTCATTTAAGAAAACTCGATGAAAGTACTATGTTGTTACCTACTAATTCAGAAAACCCAGATGACAAAAGACCTGTTTCTAAAGGTCAATATAATTTTATAACTGAATGTTTTTTCATGACACAAAAATCTTTAGAAATAGGATTTGCTCAAATACAAGAAAAAATGACAAATATCAATCAAGATCTTGCAAGAATGCAACAAACATTTATGGACACCCAACAGTCTGGGTCTGCTACCTCAGAAGTTATGAAACTCATAAATGATCGAATGGAAGCTGAAATGACAAAGTATATGAAGATTGCCTTTATTAATTTAAGTTTTAATTAAAATTATTCATAACTTTCAGGTATTTATCTATGAAAGCTGCTCTTTTAGAACCATCAACTTTACATCTACTTAGTCAATTTCAAAAAGCAACTTGTGTTTGGCTTGTTCAAGTTGTGTGTGATATTGACAAAGATTTCAATTTAGATACTTTGCAGTCTTATTGTCCAGATAAATTTAATATTCTCAAGTTTCCTATGGCCAGTGTTACTTCTCCAACTTTAAAGTATATATTTTAAAAATTTTACTGTAATCATCTTTTTAAATAATTAATGACCAATGATGTTAAAAACTATTCGATTTTTGACTGAACTGAAAATCACGAGTTATTATTATAGAGTAATTATAAATAAATATTTAAAATTTTAAAATGTATTTCAGATGTATACCTGAGTTTGTACTTGATAATATATGGAGGTATTTAATGTTAGTCCGACGTTTTCATTCACGTTCATTAGAAGAACCTGGTTTTGAATTAGTGAGTGAACTTTTAAATGCTATTTTAGTATTTATGATGTCCAATGATCGTGTAAGAAATCCACATTTAAGAGCTCGTTTAGCCGAATGTTTAGACTGTTTGTTACCTCATCCTGATGAAGATATTACAACTACAAATTCAATTGGATCATATTATAGACAAATGCTGTTTTTAAATCATCCTCACCGTAAACAAGTTTGTATTAATTTATAAAATTTTTGAAATTTATTTTTAATAAAATTTAGCAATTATCTATCAAATGTTTTAAATATAAAACAACAGATTGTGCATGCATTATTGGATGTATTTGTTGGTATTGAAATGACTGGACAAAGTGTTGAATTTGAACAGAAATTTAATTATCGTAGACCAATGTACATTGTAATGGATTATTTGTGGAAATTAGATGAACATAGAGAAGTTTTTAAGTAAGTAAAAATGTATGAATATCTTAAATTATTTGTAAATTCTCACTATATTATAATAGCATTATAAATAATTTACTATTAAAGTTAATTCCAATACTAATATATGAAATAATAAATAATAATGGATAAAATCATTAATCAAATCCTAAAATAGATGAATAATTGTCTATACTCAAATATGAGAAATGATCCACTGAGAATTTTCTTAGTTTCCCAGTCTTTCAATGATTTTACTAATTAATATTATTTAAAGAGAACTAGCAACTAGTGCAGAAAGCAATATGGAAGCTACAACACCACCATTATTCTTGAGATTTATTAATTTGTTAATGAATGATGCAGTTTTTTTGTTAGATGAAGCATTGACAAATATGGCTCAGTTGAAACAATTGCAAACTGCTCTGTAAGTGTATTTTTATCTAAGTCTGCTTTCCATAACTGTCCTCACAGCTTCTGATTCCTACCTTTTTATAACATATCCAAACCATCTTAATCAATTTTGTCTTATCATAAACATATAGAGATAAGTTTCATTAGCTCTAATAATGAATTTAGATTTGTAAAATATTTTATAAAGAATTTTGGTAAATTTCACTAAATTTGTATTTTGTAAGCAAAAATCAAATGTTGCATCACAGGTGTTAGTAAGACATAAAATTAAAAGAAAAAAATTATAGTCGGAGGCTATCTTTCTTGAGAAATTATTTAATGTAAATATCTTTCATAGCTATACTAATTTAAAAGTACATATTACAATAAATTAATTATAGTGCATTAATTGCTTACAAATTATAACAAAAGTGTATATATGTATTATATCTTCTTATTCGTTTTCTTATCCCGATTACTTGGGGTTGGTTACCCTTATTTTAAACTTTCATTTGATACAATCTCCCTCATCATCTATACACATATTAACCATCATATTGCATTTAATAAAATCCCTCCATCTATCTTTTGTTCTTCCTTCAACATTCATTTCTAAAACTGTTCTTAACGCATCCGATTCCTCTCTCCTAATAACATGATCAAATCATCTAAGTCTACTTTCTCTCATCTTATTCACAATTGATTCTATGCCTATACTTCCTCTTATATGCTCGTTCCTTATCCTATTTTCTTTAGTGACTCCACTCATCTGTTTATGCATTCTCATCTCTGCTGCACTCATTCTCTGGTCTATTCTCTTGTCAACCGCCCAACACTCTGAACCATACATCATAGCTGGTCTCACTACAGTCTTATAGAATTACACAGTGGACACTTCTCTCCACTTCACCCACCCGCACTTAATCTTGTGTCTTATTGAATGGTTGATATTTTAGTGATGCTGGAGAATGGAATAACTTATCTCAAAGAGAAAGAAACCAAAACATGGCACATTTTCAACATATTGGCATGATAGCCAGGTTTTTTGAAACATTTTATTTTTTATAATTATTTTATTTTGTATTTAATATTAAAAAATAATTACTTTTAGGTTTGACAATATACTTGGAAGAGAGACTATTAATACTTTTAAATACCTGACATCAGAAATAAAATCTATATTTTGTCACTCAACAATGGTTGAAAGAATAGCAGCAATGTTAAATTATTTTTTGTGTCATTTAGTGGGTCCGAAAAAGAAAAATTTTAAAGTATTTTAACTGATATATTATAAATATCTATAATGTGAAACGGTCCTAACTGATGTTTCTTATAATTTTTGGTATAATTAACATTTCTTGTTGTAATTATTTTTTAAATTTATGATACACTCTTGGATTATGTTTAAATTATATTTTTTATTATTTGTTTTTAATAATAAGTTTTTTTAAATTTTTATTTTCCAAAATTACAAAATGGCTAGTTCTTAGCATTTTTTTTACAAAAATAATTAATATGTCAATAAAAATGATTACCTGAATAATTATTGAATTATAAGATTTTTGAACGTAGAGTACTTACGTAACATGTGTGGAGTGTATTATGAATGCACACTAGTGCGAGCTGTATACGCCTACACTACATGCCCTCTCTGTATTAAAATGCTTGTAATTCAATTATTATTTATCCAAAAAATTTTATCAACCTATTGATTATTTTTGTAAGAAAAGTGTTAAAAACTGGCTATTTTAAAAAGTATAAAATGGAAAAAAAAATGTTATTTTATTATTAAAACCAAATGATAGGAAAATATCTAAGATATTTAAAAAAAAATTGTTTCAATTCATTTTTAAAAAAATTATGGTATAATATTAATGATAAAAAAAATTACAATGAAATGTTAATTGTATTATTTATAAATTTAGGAGTTTATTAATAGTCAATTGACTATTCCACCTATATATATATATATACAAGATGTTCTAGTGGTTTGAACTGTAATAGTTGAAAATGAAAAAATATTATAACATTTATAGTAAAATATACATTGTGCACTAATTTCAATACACGATCTATACTATACATTCGTATTATTACAAAATAGGATTTCATAAAACATAGTGGTATTTACGTAAATATGTAAATAATCACTCAATTTTTTCTTATAAAATTTTTAATGATTGATGAAATCTGCTTGGGGGTATTAAGTAGCCAAAGAATTTCCCTCCTATTTGCGCCTATGGAAACATATAAAAATAATTTTCAAATAAAATTTAAAATTAAATGATTATTTAGATTAAAAATTAATTATATCATCTAAGTTCTTGAAAAATTGTCATACAAAAAGAAGATGAAATTCAATATACTTTTAGTAGTACATTGCTAAGGCTTTTAATTGAGGGAGAACTCGGTCCCTTTTCCTCTAATGATGGTTAATAAGTGTTCCCTTTTAGATTTAATTATAATTTAGTCCATAATTAAGATATCGCATTTTAATTTTAATTTTAACAAGGTAATTTTTAAATTAGAAGTAAAAATGGAAATTTTTTTTAAAATAAAGTGACCATACTTTTCCATGAATAATTGTATAGTATTGTTTAGTAATTTTTAATTTTAAAATTTTTTCTATAAGGTATGCAGAAAAACTTAATTTTAACATTTTAAAAAACTACAAAACTACATTTTTACATCCCTTTTAAACTCTTTTTTATATATATTCATAACGTTTTGTCCAGGAACATTTTGTTCACAAAAATAGATTATTAATGAAAAATGATTACAAATAAAAAAATGAAGATTTAAATACTTGTGTGTAGGTAAAAGATATGAAAGAATATAAATTTGAACCTGCTGAAATAGTTTTGAATATTTGTACAATATATTTACATTTGGGAGAAAGTGACTATGGAGAGGCATTTTGTTTGGCTATTTCAAAAGATGGTCGTTCTTATAATTCAAACTTATTTAAACAAGCTGAAGATGTATTAGGTTTGTATAATCTTATTTTTTACTGTTATTTTGGTTAAATTTTTTTACACATTTATAGTAAACAATAAAATATGAATAAATACTTATAGTTAGGATTGGTGGATCATCCCTTATTCCTGGTATGGCAAATATTGCATCAAAAGTATCTAAACATGCTATTCAACAGAGCAATGATGACGAGTTATTACTCTCTGAAATACCTGAAAACTTTTTAGATCCTATAATGTCTACTATTATGACCGACCCTGTTACTTTACCATCAAGCAAAGTAAATGTAGATAGGTCCACAATACTAAGGTAAGTTAACATTTGGATATAGTAACATTTGTTCAAAGTTATTTTTTATGCTAATACAAAAATCAAATTATTTTTAATTTTAGACATTTTTTGAATGAACAGACTGACCCGTTTACTCGATCTCCTTTAACAATGGATATGGTCAAATCAAATGTTGAATTAAAAAAACAAATTGATGAATGGATTAAAGGGAAAAAATCTACTTCTAAATAAACAGTCGTTTCATCTTTTTAATTTAAATATAAAGAATTTACATTTCCTATAAGAAAATTCATTAATTGTTTTTTTTTTTTTTTTTTTTTGTTATGGCTCAAATGGTTTATAATTAAATGTGTTTTATGTATTAATTTTTTTAAAAACAATTGTATTTATTATTATTTCCTTTTTACCTAAAATGGTTTAGTGCAAAAAAATTTTATTTCCACCAATTAATTAAGTAAAATTATTTATTATTAAATGACCAAAAACATTTAATAAACTTCAAGATACTAAGATAAAAAAGGTTATTTTAAAGATGATAAATATTACTGTATGTAATAATTTTTTAATTTATAATAAGTTATTAACTATTAAAACTATTTTATGAAAATATGTTCGAACCCCTCAGAGCAATTTATTAATTTGTATAACGAAATAACTTAAAATTAAAAACAATTCAACTTGAACTTTTTCAAAATAACTATTAAAATATTTAACTTTTTGAAAAATAGTATTGACAGTAAAATAAAATAAGACTTGGTTATAAAATATATTTTTAATTGTGTATAACATAAATATGTTAATGATTCACCTTTACCAATAAAATAAAATAAGAGTAAAAAATATAAATTTGAAGTAAATAATCATATAGACTAATATTTAACTACAACAACTTTGTGGTGTTGGATCTTCTCCTGAACGTTTAGTTATGGCTACTCTAGTGAATTCTTCTGATATTGTTGGATGTATTCCAACTGTATCTTTTAAATGTTCAAAAGTTAAGCCAGCTCTGTAAAAATATAATAGATTTAATAATAAAACAAATCACTTTCTTTTTTATTGATTTTTACTTTATTGCTGCAGCATAACCTTGAATAACTTCACCAGCTTGTGGTCCTATGAAATGCATTCCTAATACTTTTTGAGGTGCTTCTACTAATGTAATAACTTTTAAATAACAATGTTTAACATTTTTCTGTGGTATAAAAAATTCTGTAGGCTTATAATAAGCATGATAGACCTGATTAATAATAAAAAACGATAAGTAAACAAAATATAATACTATATTTAGAAATTATCCTAAATATAGTATTATAGTAATACATTAAATAATCTATTGTATCATAAAAAAGTTTTAAACATATATTTTTAAAAGAAAAGAATTCCAATCCTAGTACACTTCACTATAAATTAAAAATCTTTAATATGTTAATTCTTGCTAATAGGTAGGGTAAGCTAGAAGATAAAATTATCACTTTGAAAGCTAAATTTTATTTTATACTTATGAACTACTAAATAGTTATAGAATCCTCTTTTGAAAAAATGTTTTCTGAAATATATATACTTAGGAATGTTAGTTCATAGGACTAATATTTCATTTTTGATATAATTAAATAAATAAATTAAAATATAAAATGAGCTTTATTGACACGTAGTTTAGCAGGAGTTTGACTAAGTGCTTTCGCAAGTGATCTGTTTGCTATGCTGCACATCACAATATTTTGTCCATATTGCTTGTAAAAATAATACATTTGGCTGGCTTTAAACTTAAAAATGGTTCATTCTTTCAGTTGTTCCATTTAATTCTGAGGCGTAAGCTACAGTGTTTTCAATTGTAATTCCTTTTGACTTAAAAAATTTTTCAGGTTCTTGGAAATGTATTCTTTTCCATTATCACATTTAGTTTAAATATTCTTCTACTAGATCACAGTTTAATAATTTTTAATAATATTTTTCAAAATATTTAACAACTTCATTTTGTTTTTTAATAAATATATAGTAGTAAAATTAGGAGGTGTAATACACATCTATATGAATTAATTCTAATACTTTTTTAGCTTTTGATATTATAATATTGAATATAACATTCAAATTTGCTTTCCTTCAATGCAATCTTCACAAATCTTTGGTAAAATAATCTTACTTAGTTTCAGACTATCTACAAGAAATTGCACATATTTTAAACTTCTAAATGCCTTAGTTTTCTATGCTAAATATATGAAGATACAGTTACTATAGTTTCCTGCAGAATTGTTTTTTTATGTCTTAACTTATCACAGTAGTAGCATTTGAAATTAAAAACTTTAAAAGCATAAGGCTTAACTTCATTAAAATTTTCATGAATAGTTTCAGTTTACCATTTGGTGTCTTTATCTAATAAACATTGCTTAACAAAATAAAGAGTAATTTTATCTTTCACATTTGCAATAGCAGTAACCATAATGTTAAACACTTAGGTAATGTTAATAATAGTACGCAAGCAACCATAACCTTTTCAATTTTAGATCCAACAGCTTTCACATTACAATAAAGATCATTGAAAGGTGTTTGATCATCGAACAATTTGAACTAAATATTTTTCTATTGGCTTATTATTATACTTTAATGTTAACATTTTTCTCAAAAAAAAAAAAAAAACAAAATATTTAACATATTTTTCTTCTGAAAAGTTATTAACAAACGATTCTTCCATATGTCTTTTGTTCTAGGACCTCTTACATATTCAAGATGTAAATCACCAATACATTGAACAATCAGAAAAATGGTATCAACCTTGCTGATAAAAGCATTAACAGTAAATGGAGTATTTCCATTTTTGACTTCCAAACATTAAAAAAAAATTTCTGGGCCTAAAACCTAATATAATTAAATAAATTAACAAAATATAAAATAAGCTATATTGACAAATGATGGTTTTTAGAACAAGAAAAAAACATCAATATATAACCTTGAAAATGTTATCAAAATCGTCTGTTAGAATATACATTTCAACAATTTTAATTTATTTTTAAAAATCTTATGAAATAATAATATAATTTATTAACATATAAATAAACTACCTCCTTTCTTAATATAATAAGCTTAGTATTATCAATTTATAATAATTAAGTTATTTATTAAAAGTTAATTACTATTTTCCCTTGAAAATTGACTTACTTCAATTTTAGGTTCAGTATATCTTGCAATAGCTTCCTCTTCAGTAAGTCCAACACAACCATATTCAAGTGGTGAAAATATTGTTGTAGCAATATTATCATAATCCATTTGTTCTTTGCTACCATTATAAAGACGAGCTGCCAATAATTTTCCAGCTTGAATTGCTACTGGTGTTAACTCGGGTTTGCCCTATATAATAAAACTTGAATTAAAAGTAATTCTTTAAAAAAAAACTAATTTACATATAATGTAAGCTAACATGCAAGTTCTATTTGTAATGCTGTGAATACACATGACAAATTATTAATTTAATTAAACATCTATAAACAACTGATTATAGATGTGGGTACATATCAATTTTCTAGTGGCATATTAACTACATTTAAATAATTTTTAAATCTCAATATAATTTTTTTACATGAATCACATCACCAACAGCATAAATGTTTGGTACATTTGTTTGTTCAAAATTAACCACAAATTTTCCTGATTCTGGATGTGTTTGAAGTCCTGCTAAAGATGGATTTAGTTCTTCAGATAACGGTTTACGTCCAGTAGCAACAAGAACAGTATCAAATTCAGCTTGGTTGTTCTAAATATAAAATCAATAGCTGATAAAAATTTCAAAATATTATCATTTAAACTTAAGAAGTATTCTGTATAATAAATTAGATGATAAAAGGCCTTTAATAACTATCTAAAAAAAGTAATTACATTCATAAAATAAAATAATCATTTTATAGTGTTTAATTATGTTTTATATAACATCATAGATTATAAAAAAAAAAAAAAAAACGGTAGCACAGTGGGGTCGAGGCACAGTGTAGACAAGGCATAGATGGGACAAGTATAAATGATATTTGACAGTGATTAAAATCACTATCATAAGAAACGCTTCGATGCAAATCTGTAGATAGTGTTTCATTTAGAGAAATTGGTGGATTATTCCAAAAGCAACATCCACTCTTATTTCTTTGATTATATCCTAATTAGTAGTTCTTTGATTTTAAAATATAATATATGAATAAATACTAATTATAATTATTAAATTTAGTATGAAAATAAAAAAGTAAAAAAAATTTAATAAGTTTAATTTCTTATGTCTTATGACCTTTATTCTATGTCAATTAAATTATATAATATTCATGAAAGTCAATATATTCTCCTAATAAGATATTTTAAAATAAAATAAAATACAAAACCTAGAATTTTAATAGAAAAATAGCATATTTTTGAATACGGTAGCCATTTGCGCATAGAAGATAGGTCGTCAGGATAAATTTTTTTTCTAAATTTTATAGTACATGACATAAGTTTTAATTTGATATATGTTTAAAGGACGCAGTATTTCCGGAACACTTTCAAAAGTTAAGTTGAAAAAGTTAGTTTTTGTAAAAAAAGTTGCTATTTTAAATCCCCCTTGTGAGCAGAATTAGTGTTAGATTTTCAAAAAAAATGATATCAAACGAAAGGAAATTACCTAAGGTTTCAGTATAAAAAAAAATTATGTAGATTTATTGATTTTTGAAAAAGTTATTGAAGTTTTAAGTACAAAAAACATCCTTATAGAAGGTGATTTTTATCGCAAATATTACATTTTTTTTTAAATTTCGGCAGCAATTTGCAAATAGTAGATAGGGTGTCGGGACAAATTTTTTTTTTTCATTTTATAGTACATAAAATAAGCTTTAATTTGATATATGTTTAAAGGACGCAGTATTTCCGGAACATTTTCAAAAATTAAGTTGAAAAAGTTAGTTTTTGTAAAAAAGTTGCTATTTGAAATCCCACCCAATGAGCAGGTTAAGTGATAGATTTTCAAAAAAATGATATCAAATGAAAAGGAAATATCTAAGGTTTTAGTATAAAAAAAAATTATGTTGATTTGTTGATTTTTCAAAAAGTTATGGAAGTTTTAAGAAAAAAAAGTGAAAAAAATGATAAAATTTACAGATTTTTAAATTTTTAATTTTTTTGGATATTTCCCCCATTTTTGGGAAACGAGGGAAATTTTTTCAATTTTTAAGGGTAATGTCTCCAACTAGATACAATTTGTGATCTTTTGACGTATTTTTAAAAGAAATCGGTCCAGTGAGAGCTGAGAAAAAGTGGCAACAGACATAAAAAAAAAAAACCCAGCACAGTGGGGTCGCGGCATAGTGGGGATGTTGCATAGTTGGGTCCAGTATAGATTTAATCTGACAGTGNAAAAAAAAAAAAAAAAAAAACACATCATAGTAAAATTAATACCTTCTCAGCTTCGCATCGAAGCTAAAATACAATTTTTCCACAATAAACATAAGAAGTTTAGTACAAAATCTCACAATTCAAGCAACTATATACACAGTTAAGTTAATACTTAAAATATTATATTTTATAAATTACTTCAACTCCATTCCATTCAACTAGCAATTTTCCATTTGGTTGTTTTTTCACACTAGTAGGAATTTTTCCAATTAAAAATTTGACACCTTTATCTTCCATTTCACTTTGAATTAAATTTACCATATCTCTATCAAAACCTCTAAGGATCATAGATCTAACCATAACAGTAGCTTGATAACCTAATCCTCTTAAAAATCCAGCACATTCTAATCCTATATCTAAAGAATAACATTCGATTTTCTGAATTATTAATTAATTTATCTATTAATTAAATTATTACTTACAACCAGCGCCAATTACTAAAGTATCACCAGGTGGACTATTTAAAGAAAAAATATCATCACTTGTAATACAATATTCTTTGCAACCAGGAAAATTAGGATATTTAGGTCTACCCCCAACAGCAATAACAATATCTTTTGCTGTTAGTCGTTTTTCTTTTCCACCTTTCATTTTAGCTAAGACTGTATGATTATCTTCAAACACTCCATGGCCATTTACATATTCGATTTTCCTAGGAAGAAGAGCACATCATTTTACTTATTTATTACATAATATTTAAACTTAAATAGTAATATTTTGTGTAAAATCTTAGCAATAGAATATAATTTCATGAGCAAAAATATTTTAAAATAGGGAAAAGTGAGAATTCCAGCAATTTTATTTAACAATTTAAATCATTAAGAAATTGTATAAAATTTGGTGTAATATGGAGCAAATGAAGAAATTCTGATATACAAAACTAGTTGATCTCACGGTTTAAACGTGAATTCTATAGAATTTTTGTTTATGTGACATTATAAGGCCAATGTTTTGTACTCAAATATCAATTTTCTTATCATTAATGCATGATAATCTCCCAAGTGCATGTAGATAATTTTAATTTTACTCTTAATAATTGATATACAATGGTACATAGGTCAAACAACAACTTCACAACAAAACTTAAAGTACTCAAAGTAGTATATAGTGTAGTAGCTACACTATATAGGGTACACAAATATTATATTGTATTTATTTTTCAATTATAAAATAACTGTATATTTCCAATTTTGCATACTTAAATCATTTTTAATTTTAAAAAAAAAACCCCAGCACAGGGGGGTTGCGGCATAGTGGTAACGTGACATAGTTGGATCAAGTATAATGATATCTGACAGTGATTAAAATCAATATAAAAAAAACCCCTCAATGCAAATCTTTAGATAGTATTTAATTTAAAAAAATTGGTGGATTATTCCAAAAGCTACATGATCTGCTATTTCCTTATTAATATCCTGATTAAGATAAAGTATGTCGAATAAGAAAAGGGATTATTAAAAAATATTATTTCTCATAAAAAAATTGTGTTGATCCATACACTTTTCAATAAGTTATAGCATTATAAAGTTAAAAATGTAACAAATAAAATCGAATATTTTCATACAAAAATAGCATTTGGTAGCCATTTTCACCGTGAAGACAAAATAAAGTACAATTTTTTTTGTCTTAATAAATACATTATCAATAATTTAAGATATATATCAAAGTGTCGGACTTTCCGGAACACTTTCAAAAGTTAAGTTGAAAAGTTAATTTTTTGTAAAAAAAGTTTTTTTAAAAAAGTGTCATTTTAAATCTCCCTATGGGCAGGTAAAGGGTTAAATTTATAAAAAGAATATACTAAATAATAGGTAATGACATCAAGCATCTATAAAAAAAAAATTATATTGTTTTGGTCATTTTTAAAAAAGTTATAGCATTATAAAGTTAAAAATATAAAAAAGAATTTTTTTACAGAAATCGTATTTTTTTTATTAACTTTGATGTCTGTTTTCACCATAAAGATAAAATAAAGTCTGAAATTTTTTTTTACCATAATAAAGTATATTACATTAGCTTTAATTTAAGATATATATAAAAGTGTCAGACTTTAAATAAAGAATTTTAATAAAGAAAAAATATACCAAATGATAGGTAAAGACATCAAGCATCTATATAAAAAAAATTATATTGATTTGTTCATTTTTGAGAAAGTTATGGCAGTTTTAGGTAAAAAAAATTGAAAAAATTTCGAAATTTAGCCATTTTAAAATTTGTAATTTTTTTGGAGGTTTCCCCCATTCACGGGAAACGAGAGTAGTTTTTTTCATTTTTTGAGGATAATGTCTTCGACTACATACAATTTCTGATCTTTTGATGTATTATTGAAAGAAATCCGTTGGGTGAGAGCTGAGAAAAAGTGGTAACAGAGAAAAAAAAAATATCATAGTAAAACCAATACCTTCTCAGCTTTGCATCAAAGCTAAAAGTAAATAGAAGTTTAAATTTATTAAAATTGGTATTTACTTTTGAAAAATAAAAATATGTATTGATATATGTAACAACTACAAGTAAATCAAGAATTATATTACTAACAGTAGGTATATGAAACTGTTGCTAGTACAAAAAATTCACACAAAAACATAATTGAAAGACCTACCTTTGTGTCAAATTTCATGTTTTTACCAATACTGGAAATGTCTTATAATTTTGATAACAAGTCAGTGAGTTAGTAAAAAAAGTGAAAATATTACAAATGCTTCCATTTTGAAAACATTTAACATTAAGGGGTGATTTATTTTATAGTACTCTAAGCGACTAGGGCTTAATAAATAATTAAAATTTTAAAAGCCTATCTTAAGTATTAATCGAGTAAATTGTTTTGTATAAAGCTACACTTACATTACTAGAATTTGGCTTAGATAATTATTTATAAAATTATCAATTTTCCAGAAACTTTATGGCAATCTCTATTTGATTCCATACATAGAATAAAATAGGACAAGAGATATTAAAATAATTTTTTTCATTTTAAACATACAATAATTAAATTGAAAAAATAAACATTTTTATTATTTATTATTATAACCTCAAATTTAAAATTGTGTTTTAAAAGTATAACAATAATAAAAATCTTCAAATGCTTATATCCCCTTCTTAACACAACACTGCCCTCTATTAGAAATAAAGAAGCAGCTGTATTTATTTAAAAGAATCATTAAAGTTAAAGATCAACTTATAGTAGAAATTTATTTACTTGTCCCTTAATTGTACACGTGTAACCCAATTGACTGATTTTATATGATTTTGTACAGCTTCAACTAATGAACTCCAATTAAAGGAAATTGGACCTTGTATTTCCCAACCATAACTTTGAGCTTCCTAAAAGTTAATAAATAGTAGAATTACATATATTTAAGTGATTGAATTTACTATGTTGCTAATGTGTTATAACATACTGCTCACTAAAAAAGATGACAGTTTTCAAAAAACCATTATTTTTTAACCCAATAATCCCCAATGTTGTGTAAACGAAACATCTATTAAGTTTTTTTTTCTTAATTATATTATTAAATGAAATTACTTTAAAACAATTTTGAACAATGTCACAAAAAATAATATAAATAGTTAATCTTAATGTTGTGAATATGCAACATTTTATTGTAAAAAAACTCAAAAGGTATTTCAATTGATTTTTACTTAATAAATTGTTATGCGAGTATAAACTTAGCAAAAAAATTCAGTGAAAACATAAAATTAGTTTTTTTTAATCTTGAGGACTAATGGGTAAAAATTACTAGCATTAAATTTTTAAATTAAGGTCTAAAAAAAATTTTTACAACTGAAAATGAATGGAATAAGTTAAATTTACACAAAGAGATTAACATAAAAAAAATGAAAGTAACTTTTCTCCTCAATAACAATATACTTCAAGTCTTTATAACAGCTTACATTACTTAGATTATTAAAAATGAAGAATTATTTTTATATATGATTTAATTTTATTCTTCTTTTTCCTCGTCTTAATCCTAACTACTTGGGGTTGGGCACTCTTATCCAAAACTTTTACTTGACACGATCACCCACATCATCTACGCTCACATCAGCTGTCTTCATATCGCATTCAATAACATCCCTCAATCTCTTTTTTGGTCTTCCTCTACTTCTTCCTTCAACATTCATTTCTAAAACTGTTCTTACCGCTTCCGATTCCTCTCTCCTCATAACATGACCAAATCATCTAAGTCTACTTTTTCTCATCTTATTCATAATTGATAACCTATTTTCTTTAGTAACTCCACTCATCTGTTTATGCATTCTTATCTCTGCTGCACTCATTCTCTGGTCTATTCTCTTGTCAACAGCCCAACACTCTGAACCATACATCATAGCTGGTCTCACTACAGTCTTATAGAATTTACCTTTTAGCTTCATTGAAATTCTTTTATCTCATAACACAATGGACGCTTCTCTCCACTTCACCAACCCGCATTAAAACCTGTGTCTTACATCCTCGTCAATACCCACACTTTTTTGCACAATTGATTCTAATACTTTCAACCTCTTCAATCTCGTTCTCGCCTATTGTCATTGGTCTCCTTATTTCACCTACCTTGTATTCTCCTTTATCAAACTCGTACTCTATAAACTCTGTTTTACTTCTACTTATTCTTAAACCCTTTTCTTCAAGAGCTGATCTCCACACCTTTAGCCTTTGATTAATTTCCTCCCTATTTTCTCCTATTAACACTATATTGTCAGCAACAACATGCACAATGGCACCTCTCCTTGTATTTCTCTAGGAATTTCATCCATCGCTATAGAGAATAAGTATAGCAGAACCTTGGTGCACTCCTACTCTTACCCGAAAACCTTCTGATACTCCTCCTACGTTTTTTACCCAGGTACAAGTGCCATCATACATATCTTCTATTATATTAATGTACCTTTTCGGGACTCTTTTTCTCATTAATGCCCACTTTAAAACCTCTTTTTGTACTCAATCATACGCTTTCTCTAAATCTATAAATAACATACAAAGCTTTCCTGGCATTTTACTCCTACTCTCACCAACAATCTCCTTTGCAATATTCTTTACACAACTAGCAAATCTATTTCACACATCATTTATGTCTCCCTCGACATATTATTTCATTTTAATAAAAAAAAAAATTATTAAAGCTATATTTTTTTCAATAATTACTTACATGAATAGATTCTCCTAGAAGAGCAGCTTGGTGCATAAGTTTCTTAGGAATACATCCAACATTAACACAGGTTCCACCAATTCCCCAAGTAGTTCCTCGTTGCGATGGAAGAACAAAATCAAGAACTACAACTTTTTTTCCAAAATTGGTTGCTTCTTTAGCACAGGCCAAACCACCTGAACCGCCACCCAATACTAAGAGATCAAAATCATACTGTCCACCTACAATTATATATAATACAAAATTTTTATTAGAAATTAAAATACAAGGCTGGTCAATCAGGCTTACATGAACTTGTAGTTCTTTTAAAAGAATCCTTACTAAAATTTATAAATTTTTTTTGCAAAATGTTAATAGGGGACAAAATATTAAAACGCATTATTTCAAACTAGCTATATTTTAAATTATTATAACAATGAAAACATATGTTAGATTTTAACGGAAAAATTGGACTCAAAAATAAATTACATCTAAAAATATATTTAGTTACGTAAAATAGTACTTATATACATAATAATTATATAACTAATATAAACTAGGGAGATAGCTTTTCAGAATTAATAGTATATATATCATTTTCTAGTGATTAGCGGTATAATCGAATGATATGAAAGCACTTTTCATGATAATGTTATCATTTATAACTATGATTACGTAATTCGGAAAATCCATTCAGTTTACCACCATTGAGTTCTATTAAACAAAACATTATCATTTCATAAGATTATAAAAATATAACTTCATTTTATGTGGTTTCAAAAGTGTGGTTTTTGAACAATACTACCCGTATGTTTAATTTGTAGTTTATTAAACACAAATTGTTAGACCAGCACAAATTATCAGTTTAAATTTATATTAAAATAACTTAGTATGTGTTCAATACTTATAACAGGCGCAAATCGAGGAATAGGTTTAGGACTAGTGAAAAACTTACTCGTACATCAACAACCTAAAATTCAACACATTTTTGCGACATGCAGAGACAAGGGAAAAGCTAAGGTATTGCTTAGGTATTATTGTCATATTACGTACTGTAGTACTTACTAGAATCGACGGGAGCCATTTTTTATTTTTTAATAAGTTAATAAGCTTAATTTCTCTTTATAAATTATACACAAACTGCACTGATTAATGAAAAAATATTATTTATTCAGTATTAACTATCAAATGACTTTTATTACAGTAAGCAATGATTTTCTACTGGTAGTAAGAATAGTGGTTATACTAATACCGTAGTCTTAAAACGCTTATCTATAATAGTAGTGTAAAGGCGTGAATCAACATATTTCCTGTTTATTATATCAAATAAAACAACATATCCTATGGAAAACAGCGCTCATTGTGGCTAAAACATGAATAATTAAAGATTGTGATATCTGTTATTTAGAATTAAACTGTAATAAATTGTTAATAATCTATTCATACTAGGTTTTATAAAAATTTGCTCACCAAACATTGGAAAAATTAAAGGAGTTTAGGGCTACATATTTTACAAGCATTGAGGAAATGTTTAATATAATTAATTTATCTAATGATGTTCATCAGCTTATTGACGAGACCAAGAGATCACGTCGTTCCATTGAGAGCAGTATTCATAACTTCAATAGTGATATAGATTTTCTTACTTTGGCATTACGTCACTGCACAAAATGGTCTGAAATATGTATAAAGCCGGCCAAAACTACTATTTTTTAATGGATATTTTTTTATCCGAAAAAAATCTTTTTTAATAATTTGAAAAGGTTATTCCCCTAAAAGGAGTTATATACCTTTTTTATAAAAATTTCGTGAATTTACGATTTTTACAATATAACCATATTATACTACTAATCTTAAGGTACAAAAAGAAGTAATAACAAATTTGCATTTGGGTGCATATTCCATATTTAACAGCAATATGAACTTTTCAAGTATGTGAATTATGCCACATTTTATCTACGATTTTTATACTTTTTTTAATAATTTGCGTAAAAATTTTCAGCTTTGTGATTTTTGCATTCAATTTGATGATTTATAAAATGGAAAATACATTATCCAACGTTTTACAATTTAAAAGTATTTACCGACGTACGACACTTGTTTATAAAACAAATGTAATTTTTATCTGTAGAGTGTCCAGAAATTGTAAATGGAAGGGGATATCACCAAAATATGCTTTATTAGTATACATATAATTTACAAAAATCAATTCTTTATTAAAATAATGTATTTTATTTGAAATTAAAAAAATATATTTAATATTTTTCAAAAAAATCACAATTTTATCTTCGATGCGAAGCTAAAATTGTTTTTTTTTTTTTTTT